ACCAGTTGTAGCTAGCACTACTACTACCATCTTCATCCGTTTTTTTTTATAATAATAGTAGAACTAGTCGGGTGGGCAAACATACGATTACACGCTCTGTTTTGTTCACAATCGGCTAATTGAACATATATATATATACGTGTTTGTTTTTTGTAGTAAAGACAATGGTACGTCGATCTAAAATGCCCGTTTGTGGTAATGGTATTGTCGATGCTGGCGAGGATTGTGATTGTGGTCTCAATAAGGTAATACTATATTTTTATCGAACTATTCTTGATTATTAAAATTGAAAAATTTCACTTTACAATCCACAAGGGAAACAATCATATTCATTCAAACTAATTTAGAGATTAGCTCTTTTTCCTTGGAGAAAACATTTCAAACAGATAAATATGATTTACTAGATTTATCCAATTATAATTTTATCTTTTTGTAAATAAGTCAAATATATTTATAAATAGAGTTGTATATCTGTCGAAGCATGTTGCAATCCTCGAACATGTCAATTCTATTCGGGAGCTGAATGTTTATCAGGTACTTGTTGTTCTGGTTGTAAATTACTTCCATCAGGTTATCCATGTCGTGAATCTCGAAATACTTGTGATGTACCAGAATTTTGCAATGGTGTTTCACCTCAGGTATTTTGAAATATATTACAAAATAGATAAAATTTTATATCGATTATAATTTAGTGTCCTGAAGATGATAATTTAACTGATGGTTCATCATGTCATGATGATGGTATATGTTTTCATGGTATGTGTGTTGGTGCACAACAACAATGTATTGACCTATGGGGACCAGGTGAATTTTTGAAAAATAGAATTTCGTTTATGTCAATTTTTTTGTTTATCTAGATTCTAAAATAGCACATGATTCATGTTATATAAATTTTAATCCATCAGGTTCAATGACTGGTCATTGTGGTTATGATTCTCGTTTAAATAAATATATACCATGTTTTGATAAGTAAGATCAATTTTTCTATTAAATAAAAAAAATGTTGTATATTTTTTAGTGATGTTAAATGTGGTTTATTACATTGTGAAGGTGGTATGTCTTATCCTCGTATAGCATCTTCAAATTTTATGATTTCTAATGTTAATACACGTGAAGGTTCATTTGAATGCAAGTAAGTAAAATATTAAAACAAAAAAAAATATAATTCTTTTTTTTTGTTTTATAGAACTATTTCTAGTCCAATTCATTCCGTATTAGTAAATGATGGTAGTATATGTGGTGAATCAAGTTTTTGTCAGAATAATACATGTATTAAACAAAATATAAAACAATCATGTAATCCACAAAAAACATGTTCAGGAAATGGTGTATGTAATACAAGTCAATGTAATACTAGTTACATATTTCTTTTCTAGATATGTACTTCATTAGGTTTATGTTATTGTAATCCAAACTGGAAAGGAAAAGATTGTTCAATCTATGATTTTAAACATCATGATATATCTACATTTAATCGTTCTTTACCATTCGGTCCTAGTTAGTGAATTAAAATAATTTAAATAGAAAAATTCTTCTTTTTGTTTTATAGATCCTGTCTCACCAACGGCTTTTGCTGGTATTGCAACTATAACATTTCTTTTATTTATATTATGTCTAATCATATCATGTTTATTCAGGTAGGATGATTTCCAAAAAAAATAAATTTCCAATTTATTCTTTAATTTTTTTTAGAAGTAAAAATCGACAAGATCGTCAAAAATCTCACGAATTAACGGTAATCCACTCTCATCATCATCCACAAGTTACAATTAATCCAACAGATATTGAACCTGATCGAACAAAAATCTTAACACAATTTGATCATACTAGTCAAAGTCTTGTTTCAACACCTATTTTTCCTCATCGAACACCATTACACCGTTCACCATTTATGACAAGTACTCGATCGATAACAAGTGCATGTACAGGTCTCTCATATTTACCAACAGATACACCACGTTCAATACGTTATACAAATCGAAAAGCATCAACAAATGGTATATTTAGTGATTCTGAAACACCACGTACACGTCCACGTCGACAATTACATCATGTTAATGCTAATGGTGGTGGTTCACCATCTCTTCATATAAATTCCAATCATCGTCATCAACAAACGTACGCAACATTAGCATTGAAACGTCAACATAATTCAAATATTTCTTATGAATCATCAAGAAAAATTTATAATGATATTGATAAATTATCAACAAATGAAAATTTACGTGATTTTATTCAAGTACTTGATTCATTTGCACAAGAAAAATTTGGCGATGAAATCGATCTAAATACGCATACATTTGAAAAAAATTCTACAATTGCATCAAGTCCAACTGAAACAAATGAATCAATTACAATTGATAGTGGTTATCAATCAACAAAACAATTAATGAATACAGATGAATATGCTGTTATCGTTAAAACAAAACGTACAAATGAAAA